AAAAGAGCAGTGTTGGATCCAAGATTTATTGAATACGTCAGCGCCATGTCAAGGGAAACGAAGACACCAACAGTCGAGTGAAAAGATTCGAAGTGACCAAAATCTGTAAATTAGACTACAATTTATCCAGGAAATCATCGAGGGCAGGAATAGTCTGTTTCAGACCTTTCCGTTTCCTCGTATCAATCACGACCTTGCCAGGGTTGGACTTTTCATCCATTGGGTTACCAGGATATATTTGCCAGTGATCGAACACACACTGGGGGAAGGCTTGGCCACTGGTATTAGCTCTAAGGTCAGTGGTGAAACCGAAGGATTCGTTAACAGGTAGATATGCTCTAACGACATACATTGGGGTACCAGATTGATTCTCCTCACTGAAAATTATCCCACGTTTTTTGTTAAGAGTGCTGTAGATGCCACCGAGCGCAGTTTCTGGAGCCTGGATTTCACATTGGTACACTGGTTCAAGAAGTCCCGGTTGAGCAGTAAGTATACAAGCCAAAAAGCACCTGCGGGCTGTAGGCATGATTTGCCCGGCTCCTCGATGGATAGCATCAGCATGTAAGGTCACATCCTCTAGGTTAAATCTGACACCACGCATATTCTCTTCACATAGAACCCCCTCCTTTGTAGCCCATTGGAAAGCACCAACGACAGAGTCCTTGATTTCATTGAGGTATTGGACTCCTTTAGTGACGTCTACGACGCAATTAGGGCCAGTGCTTTCAGGTCCAAAACACCATATTCGGCGGGCTTCTTGGACATCCCAACCGAACTCGTCTGCTAAAACTCGTCCACGCTCCTTGAAGTCCTGCTTTGCGCTGACTTTGCCATCATCAATGGCTTTGCATACTTCCTCACTCATCGGCTCAGCCGTCATGTATAGCCGATTGTGTTTGTTAGGAGATTTCGAAAGGCAAACTTGGTTCGACTTGGCCGTAACTGTTTCTCTATACGAAACAACAGGATCAGATTTTTTTATTGGTATACCGGCGTGATCCTCCTCCAGATCTTTAAGGCAAATTTCGAGGTGTAATTCTCCTGCACCAGCAATTATGTGCTCGCCTGACTCCTCGTTGGTTATCTGAAGCGATACAAGATAGCGATAAAGACCAACAGCGGATAAATTTCTTAACACACATTAACTTACTTGGACCATAGGATCACTCTTTGCTAGTCGCTTAAGGCCTTCGACGAGTTTGGGTAGATCAGCAGGGTTCTTGCATTCAACAGCAACTCTGACGACAGGGCTCACACTAAACTTCATCTGCTTCATATTATGTGCCCCGGCAAATGTGGTTATTGTTCCGGTTTTTACAAGATATTGGTCAATGCCGACAAGACCGCATATATTTCCACAGGGAACATCCTCAATAGCTTCGGTAAATCTGCCCATCATGAGGATAGTTCGCTGAATCGTCTTCTCATAAAGTTCTTCGCGTTTTCCAGGGACGTAGTTTGGGCCCATAATTCTTACTTTTTGGCCAGTGGCAACAGATCCGGAAAATACCCTACCAAAGGCATAGAATCGCCCTTTATCCGAGGTAGGTACCATCTTGCTGATATACATCATTAGGGGGCCATTAGGATCACAATTTTTCATTGCCACAGAAACTTCATCATCAGCAGGGCCTTCATAAAGTAGGTCAACGCGATACCTCTGCGAAGTCACAGGACTGGGCAAATGGACACATATCATCTCCAGAAGCGATTCCCCCGCGGGCATCCATTTGTGCATAATGGTCTTGAGGAGTTGCTTCGGCTGATAATCTTTCTCATCAGATGTCAACCGAACGTTCATCCTCTCAGCTAAGGCAAGAGCTTCATCTCGAGATTTCCCCATAACAGTTTCAAAAACCATGTAAATTGGCACTAGGACAAATTGATTAAAACCACGCACAT